CGGTGTTGTTGTTGTTCAGCACGGCTGAGCACTAAGTTGCTTACGGCCGGAGATTGGTTCTTTAAATCCTTATCACGGCCATATTCTGCTCTTCTCGAAATTTGACGGAGAACACAGTCCTCACATCTATCACTGACGAGTCTGGCGAATCGCTGGGTCTTCAAAGACGAGTCAAGCATCATGGAGATTGGTGAAGACTATATCGACATGGATTACACACCACCTCTCTCAACGCGTTCGGATAGTCGAGCGAGAAGAGTGCAGCAGAACCCCCAGGAGATCATGAGGGAATTCTGGAATCAGTTCAGTACCAAGTATCCCGGTAAGGTCTACACAGTTCTGCCTGACAATCCGTATGCTCGCTCCAAAGCTGCGAGTATACGGAGGGGCACGATCAAAGGTCAAAATGCGGGGAAGTCATACGAGCAAGCCAAAAAAGAGTGCGAACGGGCTGTCGAGCGCATCGTGAAAGAGTGCAGGCGGTTGAATCAGAAATACACCGATCCACACTTTGATATTGAGGTTGACCTCAAATCTGGACGGAGGGATTGCTTGGATTCGCTCGATCAGAAGAATCATGAAATGCGCCCGAAAGGGGTGAAAAGAGTCACGGTGTGTTTTTCAAAATAGCGGTTGGCCTATTGCAGACGATGCTAATCTATATGTTCAGGAAATCTTCGAGAAACCACAATTTTTTGTCAATGGACCGACTGCTTCGGATGTGCGCCAGGGCCGCGATGGCGATTGTTGGTTTATGGCTGCTCTCTGCACGATGGGCAACAAGCAGGGCTTGATAGAGAAGATCTGTGTTGCGCGGGATGAGAACGTTGGAGTTTACGGTTTCGTCTTCTACAGAGGTGTGTGGCCAGGCTATCATCTGGGCAGTGAGCAAACTCTGACATGATTCGACAGACGGGGAATGGCAAAAGTGCATTGTGGACGACAAGCTGTATCTTCGTGCAGCCGACTACGACGAGTCAGTTGATGAGAGACCCATTTGGGACGACATCAACCGGAATGACACAGAAGAGGAGTATCGCAAAGTCTGGCAGACAGGCTCACGGGCACTCTACTTTGCCCAGTGTGTGGATCCAAACGAGACATGGCTGCCTTTGCTGGAGAAAGCCTATGCCAAGGCACATGGTGATTTTTCCGCAATCGAGGGCGGGTTCGTAGGGTAAGTTACGCTGTGCTAGCAATTTCAAGCCCTCGCTGACATGCTTTAGGGAGGCTATCGAGGACCTGACGGGAGGTGTCACGTCGGATATCCTGACCAGCAACATTCTGGACAAGGATCGATTCTGGAAGGAAGAGCTTATGAAGGTCAATGATGAATTTCTGTTCGGCTGCGGCACTGGACTGTTCTCCAACTGGTTGGATCCTCAATACCAAGGGCCTCCAAGAGATAGAAAGGGAATTTCCGAGAATCATTCATACTCGATCATGGATACGAAGGAGATTAACGGTCATCGCCTGCTGCGATTGAGGTGAGTTTGTCGCTCAACATCAGTGCGCATATGCTTACCCGGATAGGAACCCGTGGGGTAAGAAGGAATGGAACGGCGCATGGAGTGACGGGTCGGAGCAATGGACACCAGAGTGGATGCAGAAATTGGATCACAAGTTCGGAAATGATGGTGTACGTGCATCTCTGATCCTGGGTTGTTGGCGCTGTCGGCTGACAAGGGCGATAGTTCTTTTGGATTTCGTACGATGATCTCCTCAAAAAGTATCAACATCTTGATCGCACCCGTCTCTTCGGGCCTGAGTGGACAGTCACCCAGCAATGGACCGCTCTCAATGTGCCATGGTCAGCGGACTATCACAGCACGAAGTTCAAGCTGGATGTGACAACTGCCGGTCCTGTCGTCATCGTCCTCTCTCAGGTGACTCCCCTTCCATCCGCAGAAGCTTAAACCTGCTGACTTTGAACAGCTGGATACGCGGTATTTCAGAGGCCTGGCTGGTGAATATGACTTTATCCTGAAATTCAGAGTGCAGAAGGAGGGAGAAGAAGAATACATCGTCCGCAGCCATAGCAGCTACCTCATCAACCGATCAGTGAACGCCGAGGTCAATCTCGACCCTGGTCGATATCATGTACTTGTGAAAGTCACCGCCTACAGAAAAGACGACGTGGAGTCCGCAGAAGAGGTCGTCAGCCGCCTGGCCCCAGTCAAGCGGGAGAAGCTCGTTCAGATTGGTCTCTCGTATGATCTCGCGCACGCCAAGGGTCTGATCGTAGAGACCGAGCAGGAGAAGCAAGCACGCGAAGAACGTGAGCAGCGTCGCAGAAAACTAGAGAGACGAAAGCTGCGCGAGGAAACCAAGAGGAGGCTTCAAAAGGAGTGGATTCGAGGACGCAAGATGGCCGCACGGAAAGAGAGGGCCGCAGAGAGACGTGTCTCAAAGAGCAATGGCAGCCTCAACCAAAAGCATCTTGACAAGCGGGCCACCGAGCAGTTCTTCCCCGATGGTCCTGTGCAATCTCCCGCAGACTTGGCAGGCGCTTCTACCAATGGCTTTGATACGAAGCCTGCGCACAACAGCAGCGTCCCCACGATCAATCTCCCAGAGGACCACCGCTCGAAACATGTGAGGCAACAAAGCAGAGAGACCCTCCGTTCGAGTCTGGACACCACCGTCTCCATGTCCCATTCAGTATACTACAGCGAACAGGAGCTGCTGGAGGGATTCGAGTTTGACTCGGATCTCGACATGCCCCCTGAGGAGCTTGAGGAGCCAAAGGCCCCGCCTGCCGCGTCAACTTGCTGCCCTGGAGCCAGCATCGATCCATGGAATGCAGTCTGCGTGGTGGGATTGCGTGTTTATTCGAAAGATCAGCAACTGTCTCTCGCGGTTGTTCGCCCGGTGCCTGAGGACGACGTCGAGGCAGCTCTTGACATGGACGATCCGGCCGCAAGCGCGACTCTGGAGAAGGGCAAGTTCAGTCGAATACTCAACAATCATTGATGGTTGAAGAACGGGATTCAAAAGTTGTCGTGTGGCTGCTTTCATTATCAGATCAGCTGTTGTTAGATTGTATAGCCCTACTTATATATATGCAAGTCAATAATGTATAGCAACTCATTCTAACTTCTGATCTTCATGCTTTTCACAAGCTGTGACTCCCAGCATGTGACCCCTAAATCATATAATTCGCGTTCCGTTTACCTGCGGCCAACCTCCTGAGCAGATAGTCAATTGACTCATCACTACGTCCATATTCATAACAGTGCTCTTGCTTCGCAGGACTGAATCTGAACCCCACCTCAACTTGAATATCGACTCCTCTCAGTCCCTAGGCCTATCAGTATGACCTCGCAGAGTCCGTCGCTCTCGTTGTGAAAACGTGTTGAGTCCAGACTGGAGGACGACATTGCAGGACAATCAACGCAAACACGCCGAAGATCGTCAGAAACCAGAATTAAATGCTCCACCAGGCTCTGTTCTTCTTTCAAGACGATGCTGGGATATTGAGACGGATTTGCGATTGATATACGAGAGACAGGATGAGAGTGTCCCCATAATATGCAACATGTCGCGCCTCACCACCGTCTGTCCTCCTCACCATCACCACTCATGCTTCATCTATCCCGATCCCCATATAACCATCCGGTCCCTAAGGTGTAAGTCTGAGGAAGGTGGTGAATATCTCCTGCTCTCTCCGCTTCTTGGAACCCTTGAGGGGAGGGCGGCCTCAATGGGAGTGGACTATGTGGCGCAAGTTGACGAGCATATTCGCGGTAAAAGTCTCGTTCTGAACGATAGAAGTCCCTTTCGTCTTTCAGGGCCTTGAGTTCCTCATTTTGTCTTCGTAACATGCCGGCTTGTTTCCGGATCTTGTCTTCCTGAGCTAAGTTGTGCTCCAAAATGATTCTGCTCCTTCGCTCACGTCTTGCCTTTGCCCTCTCAATTCCTCGCCTCCGCTCCTCACTTCTGTTCTGCATAGAAGCACCTACTATTGGCAGGCTTATGGATTCTAGTTCAAAGCACGGTATCGCCTGAGGCAACGGAGGGGTATCGTCTGGCCAGCTTCTGCCTATTCTAGCTGGCCCCGTTTCTGTATTCTTCTCCCCTGCTATCGATTTCAGGTGCTCAGCCCAGTCATTGCCTAGGTTGCCTATGGACACGCGCGGTGGAGGTGGGTAAGGTCGAAAAGGTCGTGCTGACAGGGGATTCCGAAGAGTTTGAACACCATCATTCACTGGGAACATTCGCAAATATGGACGTCCTGCGCCTTTTTCTCGAACCGGGCGGAAGGGATATTCCCGACGCATGGCTGCCGGTTGATGACGAGGGAGAACTTGGTCGTGTAGCGTGACCCAAAGGGACTGGGGCGCACTTTGAAGCGGTTAGGGTTGTGTATAAGATGTCGCGCTACTCGCGCATGCACAGCGTATGCCACATTTACCTTCACTGAGCACCATGACGTGCAGCCGCAGGCCACACTCTCGGAATGCTGGCAAGTCAAGCAAGGAGATAAGCTGACAGCGAATGAGACTGGAGATTGTGCTCGAAATGAGGAACCGCGCAGCAAGAGGTCTGGTTCTGAATAGGTAGCCATGCTTCCGACGAACCTTTCTGTCGGCATTTTTTTTTTTTTTTCTCTCTCTCTTGCTCGAATACCTGAATTAACCGGAGCGACTATCCCCCGGCGTCTGGCCTATTAGCACCCGGAAACCTCAGACGAGGCTGTTGCTCCCCGTCTCAGCGCCGATAGGAGGAGCCACGTCAACTTGCATGCGCCTCTTCTGTGGCGGGGGAAGCCTTGATCATAGCCATAGGCCAGCTCAACATGACCATTCCCGGCTTTTGCCATGAAGTTTTGCGGAATGATCAATCCACTGACGATGGGCAATACACAAATCCATCTTATATGTACAGTAGCGAGGCATGGAAATTGTATGTGAGCATCCAATAAAGAAAGCGCGCTCGACGCTTTGCATTATACGCAGTGGACCCGAACGTTTCTCAGGAGAACTGACGTCGGTTTCAAGATGGCTCTTGGCTCACAGCTCGATGACTGCACAATTGTATGGCTATGCCCACTAGAGGTGGAACTACGTGCGGCGATCGCTATGCTCGACAAGGTCTACGAAGAAATCCCACCTAGAGCGTGGGGCCAGAACGTGGTCTATACGGTAGGTGAGATCGGCCCTCATAAGGTGGCCGTCGTCGGGTATTACCAGGAACAAGGTCTCGCCGTATCGGGAAGCATGGCTGCGGAGGTCGTTCGGGACCTTCCTAACCTGCAAGTGGGACTCCTTGTCGGTATTGCTGGTGGAATACCTTCCTCGACCATGGATATGCAACTCGGGGATGTACTGATAGCGACACCAGAAGGTGATCGTCCGGGTGTGGTGGGTTACGACCTCGGCAAGGCGGGGGAAGACGATGCCTTTGAACTTAAGCATTGGCAGAACTCGACGAATCCTCTTCTACGTTCGGTCATTAATGTGGTGAGGGCGCGGGACGAACATGAATTCAGGAGGCACCTTCGCATCTTGGAGAGACGACCGGAGTTTCGAAGACCAGACCATCCTGCTCTGCCGAAAAGCAGCGGAGACACCTGGGATCCGCAGCACGGAGTTGCGCACCCCAAGGCGCACTACGGTACCATCCTCTCTGGGAACAGTGTGATCAAGTCGAAGGCAAAAAGAGACCATCTGAGAGACAGGTACGGTGGTATAGCAGTGGAAATGGAAGCAGCAGGAATGATGACAAGACTACCAGTGGCAGTGATTCGAGGCATCAGTGATTTCGCTGATTCCTCGAAGAATAACGCCTGGCAACCGTACGCGGCGATCACTGCAGCGGCATATGCCAAAGAAGTCCTGCTTCGATTACCTTGTGTGCATCGAGCCGACTGTGAGCGTATGTCCTATCCGTTGATCCGGAAGGATGCTATTCTATCCCTCTACTGACGTTGTTCATACAGGTCCGTCGGGGCATGATCTGCGTAATGCTGGATCAACACCATTTGCAAACCGAGATCTTCGTTTGGCACAAGCCTTACCGGAAAAATGGGCTTTCATAGGGAGAAAAGAGGAACTGGCATTTCTGGAGGACCATCTAGGCTATCGGGCCCAACCGCCGCTGCAAAGGTGCGTCGTCAGTCTCTGGGGTCTAACTGGAGTCGGCAAATCGCAGTTGGCGGCAAAGTTTGTGAATCAACAGCGATCAAATCACCCGGAGCGTGAGATTTTCTGGGTTAGTGGCGAAAGCAGAGACAGCTTCGAGCAGAGCGTCATCAATATGCTCAAAGCTGGGAGCCATGTAGCTTCTTCGAAGGATGCGAGTGCGGCGAAACCGTCTCAAGAAGACCGAACAGGACTCGTCAACTCATTTTTCGCCGAACTCAACCGCGTAGAAGATGCAAGATGGCTTTTGGTTGTCGATGGGATCAATGGAGAACTTCGCCAGACTCCAAACGACTCGTCATTTCTCGACATCCCCAGCCTCGTTGGAGGTCTAAAGCGAGGTTACGTTCTTCTCACTTCAAGAAGGCGAGACATAGTCACGAAGTATCACCCAATACGTGAAGTCAAAGGGCTGAAAGACGATGATGCTATCAGTTTGCTCCGATTGCAGGTCGATCGCCAGTTGATGGAAGAAGGGGGTAGTTTCCCCCTTTCCATTCGCCATTCTCTTTTAGTGACAAACTGACATCAATCTCCTAGGCGTGGAAGACTTAGCACGCTTTCTCAAGGGCTCGCCCCTAGCGCTTCGCCTTGCTGCGTCGGTCATTTCTCGCTATCGTTACACGGTCAAGGATTATTTGGAAAATTGGAGAAGTCGTGGTTCGGACGGCGAGTTTTTTGGGGGCGCGGATGAGACTTTATCTCGTTCCATCGGGTGAGCTTTAAGGAGCTCGAAACTGCCAACGCCACAGCCGCAAAACTATTGACCCTTTTCAGCTTCCTTTACCACCAGGATCTATGGTATGATCTCTGTTTTTCTGCTGTCGACGATACCTATCCTACGTGGCTTCAAGATCTGGCGAGGGGACGAAAGTCATTTCGAGATTACTATCCGCTGCTGGCAGATCTATCCTTCATTGAGTTGACAATTTCGACCAAGGGCCACCGGATTTGGGAAACTCACCCGGCAATTCAAGTCGCGGCCAGACAAAGAGCAACTGCCGACGAACAGGAGTACATCCGTTGCGCAATCTCTCTCGTGGCTTCTCGCGTCCCCAGGTCCTACGAGGAGAGTTCCTGGGAGACGATGCGACGGCTAGAACCACATGTAGAGCTTTGCTGGAGTTATATAAAACAAGGCAGATGGGGACCGAACACCAACCTCACCGAGCTGGAAAGTCTAGGTCGAGTTTTCCGACATGTCGGTCGATACAGGGAAGCATCACTTATTTACCGAATGATAGAGAGTGGTCTCAGTTCGCAGACGCTCACTCACGACAATGCCGAGTTCCTGGCCAACGTGCTCACCAATCTCGGACTTGTCTACACGCGCCAGCGGGAGTTTGGGCCTGCACTACGCGCCTTCCGAAGGTCATCCGACTTGATGAGCGCGCTGGGTATGCTAACCCCCGATGCATCAATGTCAATAACGTACAACAAAGCAGTGGTGTTCATGATGACAGAGAGGCTCGACGAGGCGGAGGCATTGTTGCGACAAGCAGCGGCTCACTTCTCCCGACACCCAACAGACCAGCATATGCCTATGAGCGATGATTGGAAGCGTCTATACATCCGAATACTAAATGACTTCGGCGAGGTATCTTTGCAAAAAGGCTCCGTAGCAGCGGCGGTGGACCTCTTCCATCATGTCTACGACAGCCAAAAGGACTGGTTGGGTGACTTCCATCCAACCATCCTCTCGGTCAAGCTGAATTTAGGGAGAGCTCTCACCAAGCTCCATCGATGTACCGAAGCTCAGGCCTTACTAACAGAAGTGATTGCAGTCTATACTGAATGGTGGGGACGTCGCCATCCGGAGACCATGCGAGCAATCGACGAGCTGGCTCTGGCATTCATGGAAGACGTCCAGGGCAAGCAGGCAGCAAATAAGCTTGCTTCTTCAGAAATGCAAAGAGCAGAAGAGCTCTGGAAAGAAGTCTTGACTTTCTATAGGAGTATATATGGAGATTCGTCAGATGCGACAGGCCGGATCAAATCGAATCTACAGTATCTCTGCTCTTTAAGAGGTATATAATTACTGCACCTGCAAGTAAAAATTTAACCACATCCACTTGTCATTTAGTGTATTCTAGGTAGCCCGCAGAAGGTTGGAATGAATTTCAATAGGTCATATGTGTCAGTATCATTTATATCTGTAGCTGCATAAGAGCTCAGTCAATTCGGTTGGGCGGCCTCATTTACCCTCATGTACAAGCGTGACATTAATAATGTATAGCCAGTAGCTCATGATGCCCAAACTCCCCACCCAATGGATATAGGAAAGACTGAAAATTGAAACCTGTTGAAATTATACAAGTACAAATGAACGCTGATCTGATGTAGGATGAAAGTGCCAAGACTTCTGACATGTCAATGATTGACGCTGTCGTTATCTGCCCACCCACCTACATCTCTCTTTTCCTCGCAGAAACAACATGGCGCAATGCGCCGGCTTGCAATTGACTCTCTAGATAGATTCAGAGCAGTCAAACTCTCCTGTTTCCACCCGTCATCCCGTTTATACCTTCGAGAGAACCTCCGCTACTTCTCCACTGCGCGATTCGCGCAATCGACCTTCCTCAACCAGTCGTTCCAAGTTCCAGTTGGAAACAATGGACATGTGTTCCTGAAGTAGGTGTCCCTTTTCAGAAAGCTCCATAAAAGATTATATTGATGAATGTGCATGAACAGTGTAACCTATCCCTCCATAGCGCCTACCCATGGCCGACCGAGTGTGATCATCCGCCTGCCTTCGGGCCCGTTGTTTCAGCGAGAGGCAGAACATGACATGAACTTGCCCACGACTCATCAAACACCTCGTACTTCTTTGAATTCTGGAAACCAAGATGGTCCCCGCTCGGAAGCTCTGGCGTCCATCACTTCCTCGACGGTCGTAACGATCAATTACCGTCTAGGGGCACCATCGACAGACCTCGCATCGGAGTTGGCCCTCTCCGAAGACGAAGAGGAGAGGCGCCTCTCTGCGGTCAAGAAGCAGAATGCCTCACCCTCACAAGTCTTCTACCGGTACCCTACACCCGTCCACGATACCCTGGCCGGATTCGACTGGGTCCAGCAGACCCTCCGACCCGCGCGCCTAGGTGTCATCGGCACACACGTCGGTGGCTCGTTGGCGCTCATGCTCGCCCTCACCGAAGCGCAATCTGTTCAAGCCGTCGCCGCCCTAGAGCCTATCTGCGATTGGGCCGGATTGGACGAGCACTGTCTTATGGACGAGCAACAAGCTCACGAGGAAAATACTGCCAGCAAGAGAACACGGGGTGCAGGAAGCCGAATCCCCGCTGCGCAGGATCTCGTCCCGCTCCTTGAAGCACGCGAAAAATTCTTCACCACGGCGGAGCGCTACTTTGATGCTTTCGCCTCGCCTGTCCTATTCCTACGGTCGGCAGGTAAAGATGTCCCGAGGACGTTTCCGAAGTACCGGACTGGACCGGACTATCCGGTTCCTGTGCTTGTGTCCAATAAGCCGGACAGACAGCCGATTGATGTCTGGGATCTCGACACGCAAGACCAGGCAATCCATCCGCAGAATGACATCTACGACTCCTCGGAGACAGATCTACCACGAGTTCCAGAGTCAAAGTCCACGGTCGACCCCGTCGATGCAACCATCCAGGGCCGCACCATCCGCCGCCGCAAGGCACTCTCGCGCTGGCCCCCGTACGGCTTGGACTATGGTTCGAGCGCCTCCCCTCACTACCACATGCACAACTACGGGATCAAACGGCTCGAGATGGCCCTCCCGAAAACCCGTCTCTTCGTCCGCGCCCGCGAGGACGAACATGCTGACCCTGCCCCTGCCCCTGCGCCAGACGGGAAACGGCAGCACCCCCGGAACCCGAGGAAGACACCGCGGCGCTCAGTCCTGGCGCAGCAGGCCGAGGAGATGGTCGATCTCATGCGCAGGGCATGTTTCTGGGGCCGGGAAAAGGGTTACGGGGAGAGCAGAGTCACGCTGTCGCAGGTGGCGTCCGCATCCGCAAAATGGCCTGTCTCTGGCGAGGAGGACGCGGGGAGATGGCTGGGTGAGACTTTGTTTTCGGGAGATTCCGATGCTGGATAGTTGAGCCATTGGCAACCATGCTTGTTGTCTATCTAATGGAAGATTATGACACTGTATCTTGGTATATATGCTAGTCCTAGAAAGAGTGATGAGTATTCTGAGGGTGTGATCTTGGTAGATTGTGTAGATACCTCGAATGCTGAATCATCCAGCTCTAGCCCTTTGCTGGAGGTACTTGCTGAGAGTGACCAGGGACATTCAAACATTGAGGGTCTCCATCATATAGCATACAAACCTATTTTTCAGTTGGTAAAGCGAATGACTACATTTCATCCCAGCATCCTGACCGAGCAAAAGGAAACAGCAGCGATAGCTGGATAAAGAGTAAACCCTTGATTAAATACATTTATCTATAAATCTATGTTATATCTATAATGAGGAACCCCCGAACGTATTCCCACTGGGCGAGTCCCACCACGGTTCGATATCAGATAGACTGGGCAATACATTCTCCCCTTCGAAGTGATTGCCCGTCCCCATCTGCGCCAGTCTGCCGTCGCCCAAGTTCTCCGCGAGGAGTTGGAAATCCGAGTCCCGTATCCAGTCCAGGTCGCCGGGTTGGCAGGCGCCGAATCGCTGTGGCTGGTTCAAGGACTGTTGCGCGGGGCGTTGTGACTGGGATTGGGACTGGGAGAGGTTGTGGGTAAGGGGTATGCCCGATGCAGAAGCTGATGACGGTGCTGGCGGCGGGAAAGGATAGGAGGATTGGTCCCGCGGCGCCCCGGCTATTCGGGATTTTTTCCTCGATGGATCGGACTCGGTGGAGGGGCCGGCTGAATGCTGCGAGAGGAACTTGCTGACCTGTCGCTTTTTGGCGGACCCGGACCTGCGCAGGTGGGCCTGCCATCTCCGCTGCAGGCTCACGAGAAAGTCGCGGGTTCGTTTCGCGTTCTCGAAGGACTGCCCTAGTTCGTCCAACGCGCGGAAGCAGAGGTTCAGGTACGCGACCATCTCCGCATTGCTCTTGGTATTCTCACCGCTGTTCTTGCTAGATGAGAATGTGTTCGATATGGTCACGTAGAGAAGCATGAGAGCTGCGCTGAAGATGATCGCGACCACCTGGTTGTTCATCCGGCGGAAGGTATAATGTTTCTCGTAGATGTGAAGGATTCTCGCGATGGCTGTCGATGACTCGATGCACATTCGTCGCGCATGGTGGTAGCCAGGACCCTGGCGCGGACTGCGTGGTTGGATGTAGTTTTTCGAAACCCATGGTCTGTGAGTGAAGATGACTATCTGATGGTATTGCATGCTGTGAATGATTAGTTTCGATGACCTGGTTTTGTGCATAAGAAAAGACGTACTGCAACATTAAGAGATGGGGTAATCTCGGCGTAGTTTCATGGTCAAGGTCTATCTCCAAGTTGGAAGGCAGGTTTTCCTTCCAGGCGAAAAGATCCTCAGTAACATTATAGCACAGCCTCTGAAGATCATGCCGAGAGATATCGGAGCAACCGTATCTAGAGCGATGTCAGTCGTTGAAGGGAGCCATTGCTGGAAGAACTTACAAAATATGACCGATGGGTAGAATGATCTCCCATAGCACCGCAAATTGTCTGCTGATTAACTCATTTGGATTCCTCAACCCATGCTGTAGCACCACAGATTTCGTCTCTAGGCCATACGGATACCAAATGCTCTCCTTTTCTGCGCCCAAGTCCGACGCAGGCTTGGGGACAGTAATGTCTCCGGCATTGGTGCGGAAAGGCCGTCCTAGGTAAAACCCCCAGAAACTGGAATCAGGACCAGTCAGAGACGACGTTGGTCCAGCAAACCAGGCTTGCAACTTACTGATCCGCGGTATAGCTTCCCCAGAATGCTATGCGACGCACATCGGCTTCGAACGCGCTAATGTCACCTTTTTCGACGTACGGAGTCATGTCGAGATGTAATCCAAGGTCAAATGCAAGCCGCATTGACATTCCTGAGGATAATCAGCTCTGACTCCTCCTTTGCTTGGTTTTCAACATACCACTATAGAGCCAACCCCGTGCATCACGATTCGATGCCCCCTCATGACAGCTCAAAATGACCAGCGCCTGCACTGTGGCAACACAGGGAGAATCTAGTTCAATTTCCAAAAGAGCCTTGGCTCGATCCGCGAAAAACTCTGAAAGTGACTTGGGAAAGGTGATGAAAGTAGGGTGGTACCGTGCTTCGAACGCACCACCGACCGCACACCTGAAATCTTGTTAATGAGATGCACGGCAATGATGACAAGAACATACATGGCATTTGTCAGAACTTCCGAATAGAATGGCGTGTCGTCGAGGTCATTCCTCCACCTCGACCTGGCCGTCATAAACATCTCCTTGTCGACAACATAGGTACTAGGATTCTGCCAGGTAAAATAAAGCTCGACGAGATGATCCTCTAGAGCCTGGTCCACAGGCTGTCCGACTCGCAGATGGTTCAGAATGTCCTGTCCATCATGGCGAACAGTACGAGCATCAGGTCGCTGGCGTTGTTGGGTTGCCGAGACGTCAACCAGGTTGAGATTCGATGTGGCGCCGTAAAATCGCAGGTGGCCATCCCCCGCGATCTTCAACGTCCCAATCCGATGGGATAACTGTTCAATGACATCGTTTTCAGCTTCGTCCTCTTCACCACTCTCTGATTCATCCTCAGTGTCATTCTGGGCTTGGCCCAAGAGTACCCCCGGCTGTTGAGCAAAGTCTGGAGGTAAAGGCACGCTGTCCGGACTGCTGATGCTGCCCTCGTTCTGGTAATTGGACGCAGCATCCAAGTTGGCATAGATGGACCCTAGGCTCTCCGCTGTTGGAAGAGTAAAACCCCAGTGCGTGGAAGGATAGTGGGTCGACGGACCCGGATTGACGCCGAAGAAGTTGACTGGATCTGGGCTTCTCTCAGCCAAGGCAACCTGAGCGGCCGAGGGAATGAGCCTGTGAGCAGCCCCGGAGGCGCTCTCCTTTATGGGCTGCCCTTCTAGAGTTGGAACATCAGGCGAGTTTCGTTCGGGAGATTGCTGAGCAGCCGGTCCGGACTGCAGATTTGGCCCATCAATCTTCCCAGGACCACTTTTCTTCACAACTACACGAGGAATTTGAAGTGTGTCCAGAACCCGGTTCATACCCGACTCATCCTCGGGTTTCATTGGAGGTGGCTCTAGCCCATGGTCATAGATGAACTGACAAAGCTGGTCAATCCTGGCGGAAAAGAGCTCCGTAGCAGCACGAAGCGAAACTCTGGCGTCAAGACGGTCAGTCTCCGTTGGCCTTCATCAAACAAAGTCTGGAGTGAGCCTTTGCAGCCTCGGCCAAAATCGAGAAATTCGCTGGTCACTCGTCTCTCTATCTTGGGGTGCCCGTCACGAGAAGCACAAGGTGCATATCACAGAAAACCAGCCAGTAATGCTTGAAAAGATGGAGCGAGACGAGACCTACTTCCGTTTGTCATCGCCATGCTGGTACCTGCAATCCTTCCCTTTCCTCTCGCAATTGCGACAATGTGGAGTAGCACCGTCGCACTGAGTAATAGTCAGTATGACTATAGAGTCGAAACGGGAAAGTGACAAAACGGACCCTGATTTTACTTTCTCTACACGGGACGCAAGCCGTGGTGACATGCTTACGAGGAGCCTTCTTCGGCTTCTCGGGCTGAGACTGCATGGTCACCATTATGGTAACTCTGCGCGCCCAGTCTCAGCGGAAAGGCGGGGGGAGATGGGATCGACTCTCGTCGAAACACGAATAAGAGCAAGGAAAGGGATGAACTTTCAACTCCCGGTCATGGATTCGAACTCCACAGTAGCTTGGTGGACTAGCGACATGCTCAGATCAAGGATAATCAGGATGGAATGGATGCAGGACATGGCATCATGCTTTGGCTTTTTTTTTTAAGAGGGGGAACTCGATGTGGTTGGGCCAAGACGAAGAGAGAGTTCTGGGGAACGTCGAGAATCGCAACAATTTTTAGTGGAGCGGGGAGGGGATCCACCAGGCGTGAGGAGAGCCCAGCCTGTAAGACTCTTGGCCGCGATAGACGCAGCATAATACAGCTTCATGGGCTTTTTAGACTTGAGAGATACAACTGGCAGATTTGCTGGCGAAAGATGGGGCAAATGGCAAGGTAGAGGGCTACCTATACAGCATTTGTGGCTGTTTCTGCAACTAAACAGGGGATAGAGTCCCTTGACCTCGCAAGGAGAATGCACACAATGGAGACATTATTACACGAATGCTTGACTAATACTGGAATGACTATTTACACCCCCACAGACCTGACAGGCCTGACATCCAGATGATACAGGACTGTGCTACGGCCGACAGGCATTTACCAATTGCTGGTACGTTTCAGCGCCTCGTTCTGGATCACCTCGATCCAGTAGCCATCTGGGTCGAGAATGAAAGCCACATTCTTCATCCGCCCGTCCGTCAAACGCTTCTTCCAGTTCACATTGAGCGACTCGAACCGATCGCAGGCTGCGTTCAGATCGTCAACGGAGACACCTGCACGCACACCATTATCAGCGTAGTTCGGACTGTCGTGAAAGATGAGGTGACTTACAGATATGACCGAACCCTTGAGGCTCCGAATTGCCGTCGTGGTAAACCTTGCCTTCTTGCTTCTCCGTACCGTAGTTCCAGGTAAGCTCGAGCAGACCCTCCCATCCAGCCACAGGATTCTTAGTGCCCTCCTGCGCAGTGGGGTTGGATGCAGGGTATCCCAGGAAGTAAAGGTTGAAGGCAGCATCCTTGTTCTCGATAGTGCGGACAAGCGTCATACCCATAACCTCCTGGTAGAACTTGAGACTAGTCTCGGCGGACTTGACTCGAAGCATGGTGTGGTTCAGTCGGTAGGTGCCTGGATCTGTCGCAGTACCCACATCCTGCTCGTGGCGGCGGATGATCTCGACCCAGTATCCATCGGGATCCTTTGCAAACGCAATGTGCTTCATCCGACCTTCTGTGAGCTTCTTCTGGAATTGATACCCAGCGTCTTCGAGTCTCTTGCAGGCCGCTTCGATGTTGTCGACCGAG